TTTTTTTTTTTTTTTTTTTGTGAGACTTCTTTAGCATTTGCATTATTGCACTTATAACTGGTTATAAGATGAGCTTTCAGTCTGATTGTGCACATTTTCTCTTAGGCACAACTCAAAAGTCACTCATCTTTTAAAGGTGACTTCCATGTAAGATCGATGAGTTGTCTTTTGTATATGACTGCCTTAGGACAGCCATACATTCAAACAGCACTGAGCTCTAAGTATGTGTTCTAAATAATGATCATCATTAGGGCTGAGTATGGATTTATACCGAGCATCACCCCTGGTGCGATTTAAAATCATATTAGGCCCTGCCATCATTTCCTGGATGAATGAGCTTATTCGCTATGTGTGTTCCAGATGCCTCAATAGGATGCCTCAGCATTTCCATCTGCAATCTTCAGCTTTAGCAAGTAGAAAGAGGAGTGAGTGAAAGAAAAGGAGGAGGCATTAATCTTGTGATAATGAAATTGGCGTGTGTGGTTTTAAGGCAGAGGTGTGTTCGTTAAGGTGAGGATGTGTTTGTGTGTTAGTGTGAAAGTGCTCATGTCAGCTTTCAATAGAAATGAGAACATTTGTCACACACTACGGATACATTTGCAGTCAGACGAGGGTCAAGAAAACAGTAAACTGAGACCGATGACACGGTGTTGCACACATTACTGTAAAACGGAAATGTGTCGTCTGCAAATGGAAAAATTATTTGAGTTTCACATGGGAAAAAAACAACATTTTTTTCCGACAGTCACTTGCAATTTACGTTGCAAGATTGAATATGAAAAATACTGAAAATATTTGTATTAAATGGAAGGTATTATGCAAAATGAACTTTTTAAAGCTTTATATTGTGTTATAATGTCCTTCCTTCATTAAAAAAACATTCTTAAAGTGACAATGTGCTGAAGTGGGAGTGTCAGAAACAGTATGAGGTTCTTAAAGAGACAGAGGCCAATTCCAATGTGTTTAGATAGACTATGATGCAAAGTGAAGCTTAAATGTGACATTTACAGCATTTTCATTTCTGTCGTGGAATGAAGGCAGAAACACGTTGGAATAATGCCAGAAAAGTCTGCGTGTATGGTCGTAATAAATTATTTAATTCTGAGCAACAAACAAACAGGACTCAATCAGGAAGTTCCGTTGGCTCGTTGCTCAGAATTAAATCCTGCCGACAACGCCAATTTCTGTCGTGGTATGAAGGCAGAAACACATTGGAATAATGCCAGAAAAGTCTGCGTGTATGGTCGTAATAAATAATTTAATTCTGAGCAACAAACAAACAATAACAACCGAAGGTAACATAGTTACTTGATTGTTCTATATTTATATTGTTTTTTTTTTTTGTGCCTGGAAAATACATAACCCCACTTTTAAAAACAGATGTTTTTTTTCTTCTTCTGTGGAATTAGCCAGCAGTTTTTATCTGGGTCAAGTTTTTTTTTCTTTTTTTTTCAAATAAATCTAAACAAGTCCTACCAATAGTATTAACTGGATATAACAAGACCAAAATTCATTTTTGGGCCAATACTGAATGTATTTTAACTGCTAGCAGGGACATAAAATATACGGTAATTGGTGTAAATGAAATACATCCTGAACTACTTATAAAGAGAGCAGTGCTTTGCTTACTTAGTTTATCATAAATTGTCATTGTAATCTGAGGAGTCAGTCAAATCTATTTCTATGTTATTTTTTTGTACACAGAAATTGACCAAGGCAGTTGTGGAGATCCAGGGATCCCAGCCTACGGAAAACGAGAAGGGACGAGCTTTCGTCATGGAGACAGGCTGTACTTTGAGTGTCTGCCTGCCTTTGAGCTGGTGGGAAAAAAGAACATCACCTGTCAGAAAAACAACCAGTGGTCGGCGAAGAAACCCAGCTGTGTTTGTAAGTCGCCGCACGTCACGTATTGTTCAGATTTGCATGGCTATGTCAACACTGACAAGGCTGCATAAATACTCTGCAGATGAGTGCAAGGACGGCTGCAGAATAAAGGATTAGATGATCCTCATAATTTGTCAGACAGTGAGACTGCAGATTTTAAAACAATGTGTGGGGATTATTAGCTAATTAACACAATGAAATACGCACACAAAACTGAGTTGGAGGATGAGTGTGAAACAAATAGAGAGCTGACCATGATAACATTCACTCATGTATTATTGATAAGACAATAAGACAAACAAAACCCAGTGATAAACATCGCTGAGATGAATGACAGAAAAGTGAATGGATTACAGATTAAATGAAGTTAACATTTAACAATTGGGAACAAATATATTAAACTATGCACATTGTCATGGGAGTTGACAAAGAAAATAAGATAACACTCTTCTTAAGTGTGTCTAATTTGTGTTGTTGACAGCTGATAGACAAGTGAAGTAGATTAATCTCTTTTTATCTTACATATTCCTTCAAATACATGGAAGAATGTCCTAAGAATATAAATACTCATGAAAACCCCCAGTAGATATCTGACTAAGGAACCGTTTGCATGGTTTTCAATAAAATCGTAACATTTTTTCTTGTGTGATCCAGCCACCTGTTTACACACTACTTGTGATCTGAGTTTTTGACACCGGCACTTTTTGAAACCAGAAGTGGAACTTTTAAGTGATACTCCTCTCCTAGGGGTGTGAAGTAATCTGAAAACTGAAAGCGTACATGCACACATTGGTCACTACAGTCAAACGTTTCTTGTAAGCTAACAAAAAATGACAATAAATTGCAGACGACAGAGTGTATTTTGTGTTACTCAACGTTTGCAGCTTGTAGGAGCAAACCCCAAAAAACATCCTAGACCCAAAGGAATGCTATTTTATTCTGTGCTCATGCAGAAATTGCATGATCAGCACATGAGGATGACCAGCTCAGGGTTGCCAGATAAAAACAAAAGAAGTGATTTTTTTTTTCCCCACCTTGTTTTGGTGCACATTTTAACCAAATACAACACATGCTTCAACTTACAAACGTCACGCGCCATATATGACAATTTGGGTAAAAAAAAAAAAAAAACAATAATTTTAACTGGACAGTACAAAAAAATTCCATGTCATTTCTGGCAACCCAGCTTGGCACATTACTGCAGTGATTCCATGTAAATGATTAAGCTTTTTGTTTATTCACCCCAATACACATTGGAAAAATCACCAGCATTTGCAGGGACTGGTCTTGTGTAAACAGAGCCTCCAGGACCTGATGCCTGGTCTGAGTAACTACAAAGGTGTGTACACCTACCCCATAAAGAGTCAACACAAAACTTATTTTCTAATAATCTGCAGCTATAAGCTTTTTCATCCCTAGATAATCATTCTGTGAAAGTATTGCTTGAAGTGTCCCAAGTTGCACAGGAAATGCTACAGCTAGCTGCCGATTCTGTTTTTTGTGCTTGTCAAAGGTGAAACATAAATAATACAATGGCATTGATAATGTCGAGGTGTAAAACTGTTGGCAATGTAAAGAATCATATTTTATTTTATTTTATTTTGTGTGTGTGTGTTTGTGTTTGTGTTACTCACTATGATGTTTATTGAGATTAAAGTTGTATAATGGTGACAAATATATTTACTTCATTCAGCCTTAATCTGGATTAGCATTTCACTGCTCAAAAAAAGCAACTGATGGTGAAGAAGCTAAAATACTAATATTCTGATATTAAGTTCTGCTTTCTACTGAAGTGGCAAGAAAAAAAAAGCATTTCACTGCTCAATCTGGTCAGGAGAAGAACTATTTTACTCTGAATTGAGG